TTATTTTGATATATCACAGTGAAAGATTTATCGTCCTCTTTTTTTTTTTTTTTTTTTTTTAAAAAAAAAAAAAAAAAAAAAAAAAAAAAAAAGAAGAGTAAAAACAAAACAAAACAAAACAAAAAAACAAATGATAGGGTATAACTCTTTTTAGTAAGGTCTGTTCTATGTGAGAAATGACACAGGCAGAGTCACATCACACATAGCACAGACATGTGATTCCGTAAGCTTCAGCACATGGAGGAGTTACATACCTTAAAGAAACAGACAGGATCTGTTTTAGGAACCAAACCCCAAGGAGGAATTAAAGAGTTCAGAAAAGGGTCACAGTTCAAGTGCCTCAAGTCCCCACTGAAAGCAGAAGGAACGTTTGAAAAGAAGTGTGCTGGGGTGTCATTGTTCTAAACTGGACCTTCAACAGCCAGCTGAAGAGTCTGTGGTTATTTCAGTACCAAGTTACATGGAAGGTTTTTTTTTTTTTTTTAACAGAAAAAGGATCTGGGAAGCCAATGTGACTGTGAACATCTTCCAACTACGTGGGAGGCTGAGGCTGGAGGATTGATGGAGACCATCCTAGGGAACAGGTGTACAGATTCTATCTCTTAAAAAAAAAACAAAACTGCTGCAATAAAAACATACAGCACACATAGCTGAAATGGAAAAGCAGGGGAGGAGGGCCTAAAAGCAAAATAAACGAGATTACTTCAACTGTGCACATAACAACAATCAGGGAAAGAATACAAATGACATGGGTGGCAATGAAAACCAGGCTCGGCAGTTTGCATCATGCCCATGAAGACAGAAGGGGATTCGCAAGGAAACCCAGACTATAAAAGAAGTGTATATGTACAGTGCTTACAATGCTGACACCTAGACATAGTGTGAAAAGACAATGGCATGTCTTCCTAAATGTATTGATGACTTGTAGAAGTTTAATAAATTCAATCTAGTGGTTTCCTCTTTGGTTAATTCTGCTTGGAAGATAAGGAACAAAGTTGTAATTCTTTTTTAATCTTAATATAAAAGATGTAATCTCATATTTTTAATATTTTACTTATTTTTTTTAAATTTTATGTGTATGCATGTATTGCCTGCATGTAGGTAAGTGTACCTGTGTTGTGCAATGCCCGCAGAGGACAGAAAAGGCTGTCCGATCCCTTGGAACTGGAGTTATGGACAGTTGTTAGCTGCCATGTGGGTGCTGGGATTCGAACCTGGGTCTTCTGTAAGAACAGCCAGTGTTCTTAACCTCTGAGCTATCTCTCCAGCCCCCACCCCCCGCATTTTACCTTTATATATAATAACTACAGAAGAATTCAAGACACTCAGATTTATTCAGCCTCTTAAACGGCTATCATGTAGGACTGAATAAGTCCTTTCTACATAAAATTGCTATCCCCAAGTCACTGTTCTTAAATACCACATTAAACTCTAACTAGTAAATGATGTAAGTACAAATTATAAGTACATAATGACAATAAGAAAATAGTAATAGTACTCACTAACTACTGTGCACATAGTGACCACTCTGAAAATATCATTTCTTTTAATCCTCATGATATCCTATGGGTTAGATACAATCACTTTATATGTGTAAAAACTAAAGAACCAAGAGGTCAATTAACCTGTCCTAGACATCAACGCTTTCTATGCAAAATAAAAACATACGATAATTATGGGAGAGAGGGTGGAAAGAATATAAGAGCGAGAGGATGGGAAGGGATGCTGTCTTCTGGATATGATGTGGTGGTTGCAGTCATGAATTCACAGCAGTCTGGTTACCTGCACAAGATCAAGGTAGTCAATGTTACAAAATGGATGGGGGAAGGGCTCATGATGCCCCACTCCTAGCTGAAGAACTATGGGTAGTTGATAGGTACTGAGGGTAAAGAAGCCAATTTTCTTTGGGGAGTGTGCCCATGGGTAGATTGCTCACATGCTGGTGCATGGCCCACACCTACATGCATGCAGGCAGCACTAAGTGGACTCAGTGGGTTGCAAAACAACAAAAAAAGAAGAGATCAGGCAGAATCAGTGATCTAAGAATTGGTGCCTCAGTCTACAGCTGACTAGAGAACAGTTTGAAACATTCCTCTCTTTAACATTCTGTCTGGCTGACTCAGATGTCTTGCTTATATTCCAAAATGTTATTACCTTTACTAGAAGGTTCATTAGTTTGAAATTTTAAGTTCACAGATTATATTAGTCAGGAACTTATTGCTGTTTATCCAGGTTTAAAAAGAGGTGCTGGACTGGAGAGAGGGTGGAGCCATTAAAGGCTAAGGCTAACAACTAAAACATGAAAATGAGGCACTGTTTTGTAAAGTAAATTGGGATGCCTTCCATCTTATTTGTAATCTATCACAAGATACTATGGCATCCAAATTAGCATTTCCTTGGATATGTGAAAGAATTTTCTACTAAAATGAAGAGGAAACACATACGATAAAAAGAGGACTTGAAGGTGGAGGGTGTGTGTGTGGGGTTCTAGAGGAGTAGGGAAGACCTGTTGGTAGACTCTAGGGGAATGGAAAGAGGGACCAGTTGGGGGGAGATTCTGGAGGGAGTGGGAGGGAGAATTTTGGGGTGGATATGGTCAAGACACATTATATATATGAAACTGTCAAAGAATGAAATATTCTAAAAAACAATATATATAACAAAGCCATGTTTATACATATACATTATATGTATATATCTATCTTGTGATATTATTTTAAAATTGATTTTTAAAAAGAATTTTATTTGCACTGAGATATATCAATAAGTTAAGTCTTTAAAAACAGTAAACTTCTTTTTCTTCTTTATAACAAAATCAATCTAATTTCTTTTTTAAAATTTTATTTATTATTTTTATTTTATGTGTATTTATGTATTGCCTGCATGTAGGTAAGTGCACCCGTGTCGTGCAATGCACACAGAGGACAGAAGGGACTGTTGGATCCCTTGGAACTGGAGTTATGGACAATTGTTAACTGCAATGTGGGTACTGGGACTCAAACCCGGGTCTTCTGCAAGAACAGTCAGTATTCTCAACCACTGAGCCATCTCTCCAGCCCCTCAATCTAATTTCTTATACTGACCACTTAATATAAAAATGTAGTTTAAGCTGGGCATGGTGGCGCACGCCTTTAATCCCAGCACTCGGAGACAGAGTCAGGCTGATCTCTGTGAGTTCAAGGCCACCCTGGTCTACATAGTGAGTTCCAGGACAACTGGGGCTTCAGAGAGACCCTGTCTCAAAAAGACCAAAAAAAAAAAAAAAATGTAGTTTAAGTTGGGTGTGGTGGCCTTTAATCCCAGCACTTGGGAGGTAGAGGCAGGTGGCTCTCTGTGAGTTCAAGGCCAGCCTAGTCTACATAGCAAATTCCAGTCCAGATAGGGCTACAGGGAGACCCTGTTTCAAAAAGATTTAAAAAAAAAAAATAGTTTAAGTACTATGGTTTCACTAATAAATTCTTTTAAATTAAAAATTTTTATTTTGTTGAATAGAAGAACCAAGAGCTTTTTATACAGAAATGTCCTGCACCATGGCAGAATACCAACAGGCATTATTCATAACTATTTTAAGGAACCACACCCAATCTCAGTATTAGAAAGAAGTGAAACACTATCATTTCAGCTGTGGTGATAATTTTTAAAACATGTAGACGTTCTTGATGTCAAAATGAAGTGCTACTGAAATTGTTCAGAAAAATGTTTAAGGAACTCAAGTTTAGATGTGTCCGAGTCTAAGCATTGACAACTAATGTCTGCTAAGACTAAGCCCTGGGCTCAGGCAGAAGGGGTCGAGAACTTGCAGTGCAGCCTGTCTACCTGAGTGGTGAGGGCGGAAGGGGAACCGACTGCTAAATGTTGTTCTCTGTCACACACACAATAATAACAATAAAATTTAAAACTATAAAAAACACTAAGCACTCACCATAAGTTTAGTTTTAGAAAGACTTAAATTGTTAGTATCCAACTCAGATTAATTGTTCACACTTAATATGGTGTAGAAATGGAAGAATGTTCTCTTTTTTATAAGAAAATTGGCTATTTTACTTTGTCATTGCCTAAGGAAATTTATAGCTCAAAAGATCAATTCAAAGAATAAAGGTGGACGATTAAAGGGCTAAACTAATTGTATTATATTCAATTGATATAAAAGAAAAATCAGTAGTTATACATGAAACACTCTTGTCTCATTTAATCCAGGCTTAATTTTTAATTATTTAAACAACTAGTTGTTTTCTGTTTACTTAGTTGCATGTATATGAAGAGATGAGGGTAGAGAGAAGGGTAGAGACAGAGAGGGGACCCTATAAAATACACATAAGAGTATAGTGCTGGAAATCTCATCACCACCGAATTTGACTCAAAACAGGGAAAAATGTTCTAACCATCATGAGACAGGGTGTTCTACTCTGTCCAGAAACTTCCATGAGAAATCTACTACACCAAGGCAGGGCACTCAGTGGAATGGAGCCTTTGGCAACCACATTCAGTTGTCATAATGACAAAACTATTGAGAACTGAAATGAAAGCTACATGAACTAATCGTGAAAAGCAGCAAGACTCTTGAACTTCCTTTAAACTAGAAATCAACAAGAATATCAAGACTAAGTAGCCCATATGAAACTTTTATACTGTCTACCAAGTAATAAGTTTTAGAGAGATTAGTATTAGTTTTGTTTTAGGGTGCTTTTCTTTTAACTTGCAAAAAAGTTTTTCAGAACTTGAATTTCTCCATGATTTAAGAGTTCCATGATTTAAGATACCAAAATACCTTGCTTTCTTTGGATAAATTGGGTTTTCTAAGACTCTTTATCAATTTGTAGCATGAAGTTTCCCATCATGTCTTACCATATTTTTACATCTTGATTATGCATAGTAATGTTCACACTTTTCACTGCTATTTTCTATGTATTTTATACCATTTTTCAAACAATGCATAAAACAAGGGGTTGCATTATGGCATTTGCAACCATGCTTGATGATTTAAACTTAAAATTAATATGAGGGTGCAAATTATCCTAAAATGTAGGACTCATCATAAAATAATCATGAGTAAATTATCAACAATTTAAGATCTAAGGAAGTATTTATTTTCAAAATGCTTTTGAGAGTTTACTATGAGCTAGACAGTAAAAAGCTTCATAAAGAAACTACTTTATAGAGGTGAGATGGCTCAGTAGTTAAGAGCACTTACTGCTCTTGCAGAGGACCCAGGTTCAGTTCCGAGTACCCACATGGCTCAAAACAGTCTGCAACTCCAGTTCCAGGGGATCTGAAGCCGCTTTCTGACCTCTGTGGGCTCTTGCACACACACACACACACACACACACACACACACACACATAAATCTTAAATAAACCACTATCTTCCAAGTGTGATGGCTCATACTACAATCCCAGCATTCAGGAGGCTGAGGTAGGAGGACTGTCACAAGTTCAAGACCAGTTGCGGCTACATAGTGAGTTCCAAGTCAGCTTGGGCTACAAAGTGAGACCCTGCCTCAGAAAAACCACACATACACACAAAACACACAAACAAGAGGAGGAGGAGGAAAAAGGAGACTAGATTAATAAAGAACTATAGAAAAAATTCTCTCCAAGTTCCACAAACTACTGGATAGTAGGGACAGTTCTAAAGTTTGCCACTATTATCAAAACACTGAAAATAGCTGAGCATGGTGGCACATGCCCAAAATCTCAGCACTCAGGAGGCAGAGGCAGGTGGATCTCTCTAAGATTGAGGCCAGCCTGGTCTATGTAGCAAGTAACAGGTCTTCTGGGACTACATAGAGGCCCTGTCTCAAAAGCAAAATGGGGCTGGAGAAATGGCTCATAGCTACTCCTACAGAGGACCCAAGTTCAGTTCCTAGCACCTACATGGTGGCTAACAACAGACCATAACTCCAGTTCCAGGGGATTTGACATCCTCTTCTGACCTCTGAGGGCACTGCATGACATGGGTCCACTTACATACATGCAGGCAATACACTCATACAAATAAAATAAAAATAATGAATAAAATATTTAAAAACAAAAAAACACCACTGAAAGTAGTACAAGCATAAAAAATACAAATTAAAATAGAAAACCTAAAAATATTTGCTAAGAATAAAGTAAAAAACATTTTTCATTTTCCTCTTTTGAATTAAATATAATGGAATGGGTTTTCTGTGGCTTATCTACCAGGCATAGCATTTAATTAATTTTGTAGATCCAACAGTAATTCCCCATATTATGTTCTTGGGAACAACTCGAGATGGAAAGCAATTATTCGTAATCTTATTTTCCCAAGTGACTTAAAGCAAAGTGCAGTGTTTGGGTTCCTCCACCTCGACCAAGTGAGGATGGCAGAGTAAATTGGTGATGAGTAGTGGGCATCTCCAAATGACCACTAATGACAGGAAAGGTGTAATCAGCAGGATTCTTTGCCTTTTTTTGTCTTTTTGAGACAGGGTCTCCCTGTAGCCCCAGCTGTCCTGGAACTCACTATGTAGACCAGGCTGGCCTTGAACTCACAGAGATCTACCTGCCTCTGCCTCCTGAGTGCTGGGATTAAAGGTGTGCGCCACCATGCCCAGCCAGGATTTTTTTTTTTTTTAACTTAAGTGTAATTTTTTTTCTATATTTGCTACAGACACAAAAGATAGAACCCTGTTCATTTGGAATCAGATACGCCTAGATATTATTTTACAGTACCTTTTGTTCTTCTGTGAATTCAGAATTATTGTGCTGAGCTTGGGCCTCCTTCTGTAGATGCCTTGCTAATCTGTAAGAGGAAAACATTGTTTAGAACTAAAAGCAAGCAAGCTTTCTCAACAGCAACAAGATGATACAGGTTAACCTTGTAAAAACAGTAAAATACAAAAGCATTCTGTTGTCTAAGTGTAAGTCTATATCATGATGAAAATAAGATACACTTTTTTCAACATCACTTCACTGCAGGAATTCCAGTTCAGAGAGTAAAACAAAGTATTAGGGCAGGGAAGGATCTCAAGGGCATCTAAACCAACTTTCAAGAGCATCTAACCCAACTTTCCCCAGCATGCCTGGCTTTCTTCCAGAACTACTCAGACAGTAGTTATCCAGATTCTGCTTAGACACTTCACTGAGTACCCATAGCTGGAGGAACTAAAGATGCTTTATCCAACTATCATTAATTTGCTGATTTGTCCAAATCCAAATTACAGTTATGACAAAGTGAGAGTACTCTATCAAGTCTACTTTTGAAAATTTTTATTTTATCTATTTTTATTTGTACAAGTGTTATGTCTGCATGTGTGTCTGTGGAGGTCAGAAGGCAGGGTCAGATTCTCCTGGAACTGGGGTTATGGATAGCTCTCAGCCACCATGAGGGTGCTGGGAATCAAACCTGGGTCCTCTGTTAGAGCAGTCAGCACTCTTAACCCCTGAGCCGTCTCCAGCCCCATAAACATTTTTCTTAGGAGATGCAAAAATGGTTAATAAACACATGGAAAGATATTCAGTCATTAGTTATCAGAAAATGAATATCGCAATGACAAGGCACCATGACAGAGCCACAAGGATGGATTACAAAAAGTAAAAGGAGATAACAACAGACGTTAGCGAGGATGCAGGGAAGGATGGAGCCTACATACATGGCAGATAGGAAAAAGAAAATGGTACTAGCTACTGTGGAAAATTCTGGCAGTTCATCAAAAAGTCAAATACAGATTATATGACCTAGAAATTTTAAACTATTTAAGTATATATACCCAAAAGAATTCAAAATGTATGGTCACATGAAATTACCATACATACAAATCACACAAATGTTTATAGTAACATTATTCAACAACAGAAAAGTGAAAACTAAAATGTCCATTGACTTATGAGTAGATAAATAGAATGTGGTATATTCATTTAATGGAATATTATTCGGTCATAAAGAGGACTAAGATTAAGATAGCATGGTATACTATGAAGTTCAAAAATATTATGCTAAGTAAAAGACGTCAAATTTAAGATCATATACTGAGTCCATTCACATAAAATGTCCAGAACAATAAATTCAGAGACAGAAAATAGATTAGTGCTTCCTTCTACCCCTTTATTTCTTTTCTCCCAAAGCTGGAAACATTTGGGAAAATACTTGGGAAATATTTTTTTCCCAAGATGTTATTCATAGACTTTTCATGAACTCTGTGCAAGACAAAGTCTAAGTACAAACATAGATGGGCATTTTCCTAGTTTAGGACTTGCTTTCTGTCCTTATGGAAATCTAGTTCATAATCTTAGCAATGTCAACTACCTATCCCTGAACTCAGGGTTATCACACTGTGACATGGTTTCTCTATTTGAATAATCCTACACATAATTTGCTAATTGTGGTTATCAATCCAAGCAGAGTAATCATCAGATGAAAAAGTGTAACTTTAAATTCCTGTTCAGACACTAATAATCAATACAAAGGATGTGCACTTCAAACAGAATCCAGTTTTCAAAAGTACACATAGACTGGGAAGACATACTGCAAAAATAAAGGGTTGTATCCAGATAATACAAAGAACTCCTTAGAAGTTCATATGTATAAGATAACTAATTTTTTAATAGGCAAAAGATTTGGACAGACAGTACAAAACAGATTTACAGATGGAAAACAAGCACCTGAAAGGACACTCAACACCATTAGTCATTAGTGAAAAATAAATTAAAACAATGGTGAGGTATACTTCATGCCCACAGTAGAGTAGCTACAATTAGACATATAACAGCAAATGCAAGCTCTGGGGAAAAACAAACCTTTCTACACTTCTGGCAGAAATATGACATGGTACTACCCCACTTTGGACAATAATTTAACAGTTTCTTTAAAAAGCTGCATATTTTTCTAAAGCTACATATTTAACACATGACCCCAGCAATTTGTCTCACAGGCATCTATTTATACAGGAGAAATGAAAATACATGTTCACATAAGGAATTGCATGTCAATGTTTAAGGCAGTACTACCAATAATAATCAAAACTCAAATGTCCACTGACATGAAATGTGATGTGTCTATACAATATAATAATGTTCACTAACAAAAATGATACATGATGAGCCAGGTGTGATTATGCACACCTTTAATCCCAGCTCTGAGGAGGCAGAGGCAGGTGGATCTCTATGAGATCCAGGCCAGCCTGGTCTCCATAGTGAGTTCCAGGACAGCTGGGGGATACAGGTAGACCCTGTCTCAAACAACAAATAAAACAAAACAAAATAAAACATGCTAAATGGGGGCCGAAGAGATGGCTCATTGGTTAAGAGCACTGGCTGCTCTTGTAGAGGGTCCTGGTTCAACTCCCAGCACCCACATGGCAGCTAGCAACTGTTCATAACTCCAGTTCCAAGGGATATGATGCCTTCTTCTGACCTCAACAGACATTGCCCTACACAAGAGCACTTACATATATATAGGCAATATACTCATACGCATAAAAAATAATGAATAAAATCTTTAAAAAACATGCTAAATGGATTAACCTTAAAAAAGATTATGTTAAATGAACCACTGAAAAAACTCAAGTATCAGATGATTTCTTACATGAAGTGTCCAGAAAAGACATAGCTATAAAGACAGAGGGTGGTGAACAGTTGTCTGCACCTAGAGTGAGAATGTGGCATGAATGCAAATGGGTACAGGGGATATTTTGGAGGTGATGGAAATGTTCTAAAATTCAATATTTTGATGGCTGCACAAGTTGGTAAATTTAAGTTTAAAAAAATCAGTAAATTGTATATATAAACTGTGTCAATTTTGTGGCACATAAATTATACCTCAATGAAGTTTTTAAAGAATTTTTTTTAATATTTTATTTTTATTTTATATGTATGAGTATATTACCTGCATGTATGTAAGAGCACCTGTGTCGTGCAGTGCCTATGGGTGAAGAAGGCAGCAGATCCCCTGAACTGGAGTCATGGACAGTCGTTAGCTGTCATGTGAGTGATGGAATCAATCCCAGGTCCTCTGCAAGAGCAGTCAGTGCTATAACCACTGAGCCATCTCTTCAGAACCTGTACTTTTTTTTGAAGCAGCATCACAGAATGTGCCCTGGCTAGCCTGGAAAAGGCTATGTAGACCAGACTGACCTCAAATTTGACTTCTGCATCCTGAGTGCTGGGTTTTAAAAAAATATATATTTGCTTTTTAAAAGCCTAGACAAAAAAAAAACAAAACAAAAAAAAAACATTTTTTTCCCTGAATATAAAAACTTCAATTTTAAGACAAAGTTAGACTTGATTCTGTCCACTGAAGGAAAATATACATGCTCTGGTTATCAAATGAGCAAATCAGGGTTGACATTCTAGTATTAGTGGTGAGAAACTAATCAAATACTCTTCTCTAGGGGCTGGAGAAATGAGCACTGTTAGGAGTGCTTCCCGCACAGTTCCAAGAACAAGAGTTTGTTTCCCTTGCATGCCTGTAACCCTAGGTCTGTGGGGATAGAGAAGAGCTGATCACTAAGGTTTAGTGGTTTCCAGCCTAGAGGAGAAACTGTCAGCCCCAGGACAGGGAGAGACCCTGCCTCAAAAGGAATTGGTATCTCAAGGACAGCCACACCCTCTTCTGGCCACCACCCATAAGCACATCTGCATATACCTGTGTGTACACACAGATAAATCTTTTTAAAAAAATATTTTATTATTCTTATGTGTATGTGTATATTGCCTGCATGTAGATAAGTACACCGATGTAGTGCAATGCCTGCAGAGGTCAGAAGAGGCTGTCGGATCCCCTGGGACTGGAGTTACAGACAGTTGTTAACTTCCATGTGGGTGCTGGGATTTGAACCCGGGTCTTCTGCAAGAACAGTTAGTGCTCTTAACTGCTGAGCCATCTCTCCAGCCCTGTCAGATAAATCTTTTTTAAAAATTCTTCTCTAGAGACTCATCTCACCCTACAAAGGCACCTGCAAGTAACACAGAAATGCTCCCAAGGGAGTGTCTTAAATATACTTTAAGCATGTAAGAGATTGACAGGACCCTATGATTCCCACAGACAGAATTAGTACATCTCACTCAATCCACCTGTAGCAAAGGACCAGTTTTTCCTTTCTATCTGTTCCAGGCTAATACTTTGCAAATACAACAAAAAATACTGTGAAAGGTGGGCATGGTGGCTCAGTGGGAAAAGGTGTTTGCTTTCCCTGGGACCCACATGGTGGAAAGAACTGACTCCTGTCCCTTGTGCTCTGAGGTCCACACATGCACTGTGGAACACACTAAACAAATTAACGTTAAAAAAAAAAAAAAGATACTGTGAAGATGAAGATGTCAAGTTGCTATCAAGTTTCCTTACTTGCCATAGACCAGCAACAATTTGTGCACACTGTAAACAAGACAGAAATCATTGCAAAGACTGAAAGCAGGCTGTAGCCAGTCATCAGACCGGTCCATTCATCTAACAGATATTTCCTTTTTTTTGTATTTTTTGAGACAGGGTCTCCTTGTAGCCCCAGCTGTCCTGGAACTCACTATGTACACCAGGCTGGCCTCGAACTCACTGACTGCTCTTGCAGAGGACTGGCCCGATTCTCAGCACCCACATGGCAGCTACACACTGTCCTTAACTCCAATTCCAAGGGAATCGGAAGCCCCCTTCTGACCTCTGTGGCATTGCACGACACAGGTGTACTCACATACATGCAGGCAATACACTCATACACATAAAAATAAATAAAATTTAAATTTCTATTCCCAGTGGACCATTACAAGTGCAAATAAAATCACGTGAGAGTCCAAAATTCATGGTTTTGGATTGTAGTTGTCAGGAACAGCAAAACAGTCCAGAGTACAGGGTCTTTGAATCTATGGACAATTTATAGTCAGTAAGATGGGGCAGAGAACATCTATCTACAGATCTAAATTATCTTAACTAGACAAAAACAAATAACTATTGTAGGGAGAGGAGTTCTAATTTTCCAAGAACCAGTCCCGTATTCTTTCCAGAAAGGGGGAGGGGGATGGTTTCACAGTTCCAGAAACCTCAAACAATAATTTACTTTAAAACCAAGAATTAATGGTAAGTTCGCAAACAACAGCATTTTAAGTGGGCAGTTACTTTCAGTAGTGTGTGTAAGAAACTAAGCAAGATGTTTATACATACATAGAGCTTGTCTTTTAATTTAAAAAAAGCATCCCTAAAGTTTTAGTGGGGAATTCCAGAAAGGGAAAATGAGACGGGTTGATAAAGGAAACTGGTCCTCACATGTACCGAGGCTATACATTGTACCCAGGAAAAGGAGGAGGGATCCAAGGAGGGAGTGGCGGCTCCTGTGCGAGGTCTATTAATTCACATTTTGCTCTCTTCTATTCACATCCTGCGCGGGCTCCACCCAAAGCAGCCAGGCGAGAGGGTGGGTGGGACTCACAGCCTAGCAAATAACAGTCCCAGAAACCGAAAACGAAATCGAGGTGGAATTGTGAAAAAAAAAAGAGGGGTGAAGGACCCTTCTCTTGGCACGAGGCATCCCTGACCCCCACTGCATCACGCGGGTACACCCTGCTCCCGGTCGCAAACAGATCCTTCTTTTACTACACATGGAGAGTGGCAGACACTGAGGCAGAGTAAGGCCACTCATCCTTGGAACGTGGGCGAAGAGCACACAAGTATCCCTTAAAGATTTTCAAAAGGACATCCGAGGGGTGGCAACCTGAGAGGCAGAGGAGGGAGAGGCGAAGACACTACAGAAGAGAATGCTTGCAGAGCAAGGACCTAGAGAAGCTGGGTAGGAACTAGGGAAGGAGCCAGTTAGGGGTCCGGCTACCTGTTGAATGGACCCAGCCTAGTGCAGGTGGAGAGGGAAGATGGGCGAGCCACCCAGGAGGGCAGACTCGTGGTCCTCCAGCATCCCGGCCAGGACTGGTGGGCTCAGCCCTGGTGCCTGCGGGGCCCCACCCTGAAGCCTGGGCTGCAGGATGCACTGATGCGAGACGCCGACAGAAACAAGGGGAGGCGGTGGCTGCGGCGGCCCGGCCCGCTCCCACGGTTAGTCACTCACATCTGATACTCGTCTATCGCCTCCACAAGCTGGCCCCAAGAGTCGAAGTCGGCGCCTCTCCTAAAACTGGCGCCCCAGCGCTGCAACAGACTCCGGGTCACCTCCGACATGGCCGGGCCCCACCCCAGCCCCCTCCCGCCCCGACCCCAGCGAGGCAGGCCTATCTAGGGTGCCATCCTCCTCAGGCCTGGCCCGATCATTAACAGGGCCAGGAGGAACCGCTAGGGCCACCACCGCCACCCGCCGAGGAGCCGCCCAAGCCCATTTGCCGCCACAGCCAAACTTTGCGGCTCCGAAGAGGCTGCCCCGCCGAGGCCACGCCCCCTCGAGGCCACGCCCCGTTAGGTTGAGGCCGCCCCACTCTGCCTGGCGCCGCCATCGCTAACTGCGGCATCTCCCACCGTGCCGCGTCCTTCCCTCTCTAGGGACCAGACAGACTCTCGAGAGGAAGGTGCAGACAGAAATTTAAGTAAGGTGCCGAAGGGGCTGCGACAGCCCAACGGAAATCGCCCCTCAGCGACACCGCCGCCTTAGCAACCGGCATGGCCGTCGGTCACGTGACCCCAGCTCACCGCCCCCCCCCCCCCCCCGCCCGGCCCGGCTTCCGGCCACTCTAGCCCCGTCGTCTCGATGGTACGGACTCCTTTCTCGTCTTGCTGGGGTACTCTGTCCCGTCTGGCCTTTCCTCCAGCAGGAAGAGTGGCCTTCGGACTCTGAGAACGCGGTAAGACTGTCGGGAGGCGCGGGATCTCCCTCATTCTGGTCCCCACACCATATATATATGTATTATCACGCCTTCAAAGAGAGGCAAGACAGTCCATAGTGGTCCGCGAGTCGAAGGTATTCACGGCTAGATTGGCGTGACCCTCCGGGCTAAACTGATTCGTTCGGTCATCGTCTGCCTGCCTTTCCCGGGTTAACTGGATCGGCGGGCCACCCTGAGTGAGGCCTGCTCGCGAACATCACCCGCCCCCCTCTCCCCGTCTTTAGCTGGACCCCGGCTGGGAGAAAGGCCGGGTGGTAACAGGAAGTGGGGCCGGGAGTTCCTACTTGGCCCTCAAGTAAGTTCCAGTGGAACCCCGGAGCTCCCGGGTGAGGAGGGGGCGTGTCAGTGGAAAGTCGTCTACAGAGGTGAGTCAGGTGACAGCGGCCTTCCGGATGCGGTACTCTAAAGGCTTTGGACGGTGGGTGTGTAGTTGTTCGACAACCCCCCACCTCCGAGTTCTAGAGTGCCGGGTCTTGGAAGGGTTTGAAGGATGGAGGAACGAATACAGTTATTCCAAGAAACAAATTTTGCTTTCACGAATTTTCCTAGAGAGTTTGATTTCTGTGCACTAGTCAAATAGGTTATGAAGGCGGTTTATGTGGCAGATGTTTAGGTAATAGGCTTTGAAAGATCTTCAGTGTTTTGAGGTTCTTCAATGGACCTGCCCTATCCAGTGAGTACACAGTGCATTCTGTAGTCATTGGTTATTTGGTGCTTCCCCAAACCAGTTTTGCCACGAGTAAGTCAGTATGAAGGTAGTGTTTAATGTAGTTGTTTTGTAACACTGGGCAGCCCACTCATTTTTTTTTCTTTTTCCTAATAAGAGAGGTTGATTGGCAACCGTGTGCAGTGCCTTCAAATTAAATAAACCTCATCAAAATTGCTTCTGTTTTACTTCCGGGAATCTAATGGGATGCTTGAGTGTTTAGCTTGGCGCTTTTTTGTATTACTAAATGAACTACCTACCCAGGGGCGTTCAGGTACAAAAACATACAGAACTGCTTTTGTTTTACTTTTATCCTAAGTTTTAAAAGTTGATACCTCATTTACATAACATTTTGATTAGAAACATTTTTCAGATGTTTTTGCACTAAAATGAAGATAGATCACATTACTTTTTATTAAAATACTGATTCTTATTAGCAATGTTATACAAAATACATTTATTATAGAATACATGCTTTCACCAATCCATTGGTGTGAATGAGGGTATCCCTTTGAATCTGTTAAGGAAATGAGACCCAGCTGGTCCTGTCACTTGGCAGCCATCCAACCAAAGTAATGCTTTGAGGCTCAGAAGTGTTGTCTGGGGACATGCAGTATCAGCATCTCAGGTTCTCCCCCAGATTGATTAAAACTTTCATTTTAACAACATTCACCTGGGTGTGATTTGTGTTTAACGTATGTTAAAATTTAACTGTTACTGCTCTTGCATATTTTATCATGGAAATTATTATGGGAAATATTTTCCCAAAAAAGTTTTTTACAGACACAATCTAATCGGCAATTAAAATAAAATTCGTTTGTGGATATGAAGCACTTTATTTATATATGTATGCTTTGCATATGTATGCTTATGCATAAAACGTATGTATCTTGTAAAATAGCCAGTTTTTCCTGTGTCCATTTCACACTTGATGCTTCTTTGATTTTTATGTCTCTTCTCGTTGTAGAACAAATCTGGAGAAAATGACCCATTGGTTTCATAGGAACCCATTAAAGGCTACAGCTCCTGTGTCTTTTAACTACTATGGCATGATCACTGGCCCTCCTGCTTCAAAAATTTGCAAGTACGTATTAGATTCAACAAGTACTGATTGAGCAATGATTCAAGTACTTTTAAGTTTCATAGGTGATACAGATATGTAACACATTATTCCTAACAGTAAACTCATGATGAATTTGTAAGTTATTGACAGATGGAGAGTTAAGTCATAGATGAATTAGGTCAGCATCCTTAAATGTTATGTTAGTAATGAGTCACAGAGGAACTAAAGCAGTGACAGTGAAAGTTAAGCTGCACATTTCAGCAAGTCTATAAAGTAGGATATTGGCATTGTTAACTGGCCAGATAATTTATTGTGTTTACAGCAGGGCACAGGGTATGTGGTGGTAGGGGGATGCGGCGAGGGGAGTGCAGTGTGCACATTTGAGTATATGGGTATGCATGGCCATGCAGGTCGGTGTGGAACCTAGAGGTTGATGTTAGTGTCTCCCTCAGTCATTTCTCCACCTCTTTTTTTTTTTTTTTGAGGTTTGATCCCTCACTGAATCTGGAACTTACTGTTTGGGCTGAATTTGCTGGCCAGAGAGACCAGGGATCCAACCCCCAGTGCTGAGGTTTCAGATGCACTCCACCATGCCCAGCATTTCATGTGGGTTCTGGAGATTCAGACTCATGTCCTTGTACATGTGTACAACAAACCCTTTCCCCGCTGAGGCATCTTCCTAGGCCCCCACTGCTTCTTTTTATTAAAAAGGGGTATATTAAGCTACTTGTTTGTTGCTGTGATAAAGCACCATGACCAAGGAAATTTATAGAAGGAGGGGGTTATTTGACTTACAGTTCAGGAGAAGAATCTATCATGGCAGGGGAGGCATGCAGGGTACAGCTGGAGCAGAAAGCTGAGCACTCACACCTGCAGCCTTGCCCAGGAAGCGGAGGGAAACTGGAGATTGGTCAAAGCTATGAACTCTCAAAGCCTGCCCCTACTGACATGCTTCCCCTGCAAGGCTGTCTCTCTTAGACTTCTGCACACAGCATCGCCAAAGGGAGCCAAGTGTTTAAATACTTGGGAGTCTATAGGGGACATTTCTAATTCAAACCACCACATTCCACTCCCTGGCCCCCATAGGCTTACTTCTGTACTAAGTTACTTTTTGTTGTTGTAATAAAACACCAAGGACACTTTATTTGGCTCACAGTTCCAGGAGGATAAGAATCGGTTGTGATGGGGAAGCATGGTGGCAGGAGGTGTCTAGAGCAGAAAACTGAGAGCCTACATCTTCATGCAGGCATAGGACGCAGAGACAGCCAGGAATCGGGCAAGGCTATGAACTCAAAGCCCATTCCCAGTGTTGCGTTTCCTCCAGCAAGGCCACACATCCTAAAGGTTCCATGATCCTCCCCAAACAGTACCACCACCTGACCAGGTGTTCAAGTACTTGAGCTTATGGGGGACATTCTCATTCACACCACCACAGGGGTTTTTGTGTTTTTAAGGTAATTTTTATTTATTCATGTGCCGTGCATGGGGAGGTTAGAGAACACTTTGCAGGAGTCAGTTTTCTGTTTCCACTATGGGTCCCAGGGATCAACCTTAGGTCATCAGACTTAGTGGCTGGCACCCTTTGCCCAGGGAGCCAGCCTTGCATTTCCATATTACCCATGGCTGTCTACCTGCTTTCCTCTTCAGCAGCAGAGTTAAGTAGTTGAAAGATTTTATAACCTACAAAACCTGAAATACATATCTGGACTCTCTCTTTTTTTTTTTTTTTTTTTTTTTTTGGTCTTTTTGAGACAGGGTCTCCATGTAGCCCCAGCTGTCCTAGAACTCACTATGTAGACTGGGCTGGCTTTGAACTCACAGAGGTCTGCCTACCTCTGCCTCCTGAGTGCTGGGATTATAGGCATGTGCCATCACGCCTGGCCATATCTGGAATTTTACAGAAAGCATTTGAAGATCTCCTGTTTAGATAGAAAGGGAAAGGGACAAATAATTTTTATCAGGAAAACCTTTGTCAGAGGAATAATAACTAGAACAGTATTGCTAAGAGAAGGTAGATACAAGAAATACTTCAGGGGCTGGAGAGATGGCTCAGTGGTTTAAGAGCACTGGTTGCTCTTGCAGAGGACCTGGGTTTGAGTCCCAGGAGCCACATGGTAGCTAGCAAAAATACAATTTTATAAAAATACTTCAAAGGAGTCATTTGGCCTGATTGACTGGCTCTAGGAGGCTAAAAAGGATCCAGTCTAATAAAGCCTAAATAAGACTTGTGGTGCAACTAAAGGAAAATCATGAGAATCGGCTCTTGGTTGTAAGACGTAATTGAAGGACGATTGGCTTGTTAATCTAAACTAATGGTGTCTACTTTCTGGAAAGTACCAAATACAATTGCTATTGTGTATTCCTTGTCTATTTCTATAACCCATTTAAAAAAATGTAAAATTGCCAGGCGTGGTGGTGCACGCCTTTAATCCCAGCACTCGGGAGGCAGAGGCAGGCGGATCTCTGTGTGTTCAAGGCCAACCTGCTCTACATAGTGAGTTCCAGGCCAGCTGGGGCTACAGGGAGACCCTGTCTCAAAAAGACCAAAAAAAAAAAAGTAAAATCTCCTTTTTTTTTCTTTTGAGGCTTTTGAGGTAGGGTTTCATCATATAGCCCAGGCTGGACTTGAACTTGTGATGTTCCTACCTCTGCCTCCTGAGTGCTAGGGTTACAGGTACAACTTCCTGAGTGCAGGGGTTACAGGTACAACCTGCCACAACTCTCTAATCCTTTGTTATTTGGAAGAGTAGGCAAGAACTAGGTCCAGGTTGTATTCTGCCAGCCTCTGACCTGAACTAGTCAGTTTATCTGATTATCTGTAGCATTGGACTAGTCTTTAACTTGTGTCTAATTCCTAGTTTATCAAATAGCCTAAATTATATTTCTAAAACATATTTCTCCATTTTTTTTTTTTTTTTTCATCTTTTTGAGACAGGGTCTCCCTGTATCCCCAGCTGTCCTGGAACTCACTATGATGAAGACCAGGCTGGCCTCGAACTCACAAAGATCCACCTGCCTCTGCTTCCCAAGTGCTGGGATTAAAGGCATGCGCCACCACACCTGGCCTTTTGTATAATTTTAAGATGACTAGCTTTCTGCATGATGAGCTGTAGGTGATAATTGAGCACCTATACTTGCAAAGCTGTTCCTATAGACTGTCCCGTTTCATCAGCTGTTTTGTTGTTGGAATGGTCTTTCTTGGATTAGCTTCCTTAGAGTTGGTACTGGTGCTTAGCACTAACATCCAGACAGTTGAGGATTAAGTCTGTGCTCACTTCTAAACATCACAGCTGCATTTCAAACTCTTGTAAATCCCAAACTATTTGAGTGGCCAGTATCAGTACATACAGCAAATAGTTTTGCATTTGTGCTTTATTCTTGCTACCTACTAAATTCTTGGCATAGTATGCCAATATATTCTTGGTGCTTACAAGGTAAATTTAGTCTTCGTCTTCAGTAACTTATACCTGTTTTAAGCATGCTGAATCCATGTCCATATAATGTGACTTCTAGAATCCTCGCTAATCGCTTTCTGGATTAGATACAGATGTAGATTTGAGCTGATGTTGATCTAGGAGTGGAAGAACTGAAGATGTAATAATAGAGGAGAATGCCAAAGAGAAAACCAGAAAGCCAAATACTGAACATTTTTGCAGGTATGAATAAGCAGGAGATGTAGGGAAGAAATGTAGGAAGCATTCCTAGAATAAAGAGGAACATCTAGAAATTTTAGTGCTATTGTAACCGTGGGAGAAAAGAATTTCAAGAAGGAAAAGGTGGGACATTTCTTGTTGCAGAGAAGAATGGAGTCTAGGGAATAGTTTTATTATTTTATTTTTGAGACAGTCTCACTATGTATCTGTGACTAGCCTTGATCTCACAGAGATCTGCCTCCCTCTACCTCCCAAGTGCTGGGGTTAAGGGTGTGCCTGACCATACCCAACACAGAGGGAGCAGTCTTAAAATACCAGATGGCCACATGTTTTTATATGCTTTTGACATATATATTGAATTATAGAATACAGTTTTACTGATTTCAAATATACTTTTCTTTGACATTTTATGTGTAATTGCAGATTTAGAAGTTTAAAAGAGATATTAAACACACAAAAATTAAAACCATTTTTCACAAACCTGTTGTCATTAACACACATTAACAAACACTAAAACCACTCATTTCTTAATTCCTCTCCTATCTTTTTTTTGGCGGGGGCATCTTTTTTGAGACAGAGTCTTCCTGTAGCCACAGCTGGCCTGAATTCGCTATAGAGGCCAGGCTGGCCTTGAATTCACAGAGATCCTCCTGCCTCTGCCTCCAGAGTGTAGGAATTAAAGGTTAAAGGTGTGTGCCACCACACCAGGCTAATTCATTTTCTATCTTAAATGCATGCACAGTGTTTTTTTAATGGGCACATGGGTCTCATGTAGCCTGGACTGATCTCAAGCTCTCTGTGGCTATATAACTGAGGCTCCTGCCTCTACCTCACAAGTACTAGAATTATGGGCATGTGCCTCCATGCCCCAGCTGATTTTTTTTTTTTAACTTGCTAAGTTATTTTTGTTGTACAGTTGGGCTGACATGATTGCCTCTTAGGCTGAGTTTATTTTGATACAACTTGTAAAGCAGTTGTTAATAGTAACTTCAGTTACTCCTAGCACTTGTCCTAATTAATTTTATTCCTGTAAATTTGAGAAGGTAGGAGTGGATCAATGGGTGTTGTATTAAATTTTTTTTTTTTTTTTTTTTTTTTTTGGTCTTTTTGAGACAGGGTCTCCTTGTAGCCCCAGCTGACCTGGAACTTGCTTTGTAGACCAGGTTGGCCTTGATCCACCTGCCTCTGCCTCCCCAGTGCAGGGACTAAAGGTGTGCACCACCACACCTGGCGTTTTAAAACTTTTAAGTCATAACCTCTGGTCTTATCTAAGTTGTTGTACCACAGCTTAGCTTTACCATCTCTGTTACATGTAAGTGACTTGAGGTCATCCAGGACGCGGCTCCTCGAACTGTTCACTGATCTGAACTGTAACCCAGAAATGATGAAGAACGCAGCAGACTTGTATTTCTCACTTTTACAAGGTTGGTGGTTTTTATGAATTTTTGAGTTCTAAAAAAAGAACAACTCTTAGACTTGTCAAATCCGGATAGCTTAATCTTCTGGGCTGTGTTTGGTATGCTTGGGTCAGAAGTGTGACATTGTAGTGGAAGTACGTAGTCTTTCTAATACTCTGAAAACTGCATTTCATATTCTATTACCTCCGGAGGAGAATGAGATGTGGAAAAGGAGAAAGGGGCCAGAAGTTTCATTCAGAAACCTGGAAAAGTAATTGTCTGAAACATTTTCTAAATAGAACACATAATATTTCTTTTAAAACTAAAATATCTTTTATCTTTTTATAGGGTTCATAAATTCATTGGATGAATCTACCCAGGAAAGCAAATTACGATACATTCAAAATTTCAAGTGGACTGATACATTACAAGGGCAGGTTCCAAGGTAAGCAGTATTAATGCATTCCTAAATTGAAGCCAGTTTTTGACTATTTAGTTAGTGTTTAACTTATAGCTTGTGTGTTTGAAGAAGAAAAATATAAGACTGATGAGCATTTTCACTTGTTAGGAAATTAATTTAAAACATTGACAAACCATAATGCAAACTGTTGATTTTGTTTAAGATGTACTTATTTTTATTTTCTGCATCTGAGTATTTTGACTGCATGTCTGGTGCCCATGGAACCAGAAGAGGGCATTGGATCCCCTGGAACTGGAGTGACAGATAGTTGTTAGCTGCCATGTGGGTGCTGGGAACTGAACTCTGGTCCCCTGCAAGAGCAACCAGTGCTCTTAGTTGCTGGGCATCTCTGCAGCCCAACTGTTAAATTTTTTTTAAATGTGTTTCTCCCAGACAAAAATCTGTTTTGGAGATAATACAAATATTAACTCGAACTAAACAGCCTTGACTGGTTTAATAACACAGTGTTTGGTGAATTTGGAGGAATCCAAAACTGGCTTCCAGTCTTTGCTTCTATTCAAGCTGAATAGAATTTGGTTTTCTTCTACTTCTCTCTTCCTGATGGATAGTTTTGACACTTTTGGTTAGTCTCTTGCTTTCTTCCCCAACTTGGTACACTTTTGATTCTCAGTACTTTTTTTTTAAACTTAAAAAAAAATTTTTATTGAGAATTTCATACATGCATATAAGGTGTTTTGATCAAATCCACGCCTACTCCCTCCACTCCATCGCCTCCCATATCTCCCCGTCACTTTTTTTCTGACAACTTTGTGTACTCTTTCTTTTTTTTTTTTTTTTAAATGGGCTTTTTGCTACTCTAATATCCCCGCTCTGAAGAGATACCCCTAAAATCCTTTTAGGGATTAGATAAGAGCTTCCAAATACTTTTGACAATTTTGGCCTTTGGAACAGAGTATGTTGCTAAGTGGCCCAAGGACATTTTGACTTTTAGCCAAGAGACTGGCTACTTTTCTTTGGGGTCTTTTTGCCCTAACTGCCTAGCCAATTCCTACCTCCTATTCTTCTCACACCATCCTCTGAGGAGGTTACCCAGATTGCCGATAGGGAATCGGGATGCAGACCACTCTGGCTTCTTCCATGTTGAACAGGGACACAGGGTGAGGTAATTGGGGTACCCCTTCAGTGGGTCTATCTAAAAGACTTCCAAATTGCAGGGAGAAAAGAAAGTCCTTGACTGGTGAATAGGGATGTGAAGGAGAAGTAAAGGCCAGAGTCTCAGTATTTTTACTCTTATTTCTGCTGTTTCAAAACTTTCCTCATAACTTTTTCACTAGTCACTTAACTACTAGTAATAGATAATAGTGGCATTAATCTTTACTTTTTTATTTTATTATTTTATGTGTATGAGTATATTTGCCTGCACATATGTAAGTGCACCCATGTGCAGTGACCTCAGAGGTCAGAAAATCCCCTGGAACTGGAGTTTTGGATGGTTGTTAACTACCATGTGGGTGCTAGGAATCAAACCTGGGTCCTCTGCAAGAGTAGCCAGTGCTCTTAACTGCTGAGTCATCTCTCCAGCTCTAATCGCTACTTTAAAAAAACAATTGGACAGTTAAATTCCAATGTATCTTTGTCTCAGTTTGCTTTAGAATTCTTAATAAAAATGGGGGATGGCAACAAGATGGCTCAGTGGGTAAAGGTGCTTGCTGCCAAGCCTGATGGCTTGAATTCAGACCCCACAATTTATGAAAGGTGGAAGGAAAGAACCAACACCCAAAATTTGTCATTTGACCACCACATTTGTGCCATAGCGGGCATGTACACACATACACACACACACACACACACACACATAAATGTAAAAATAAAATAAAAATAGGGATTAGAGGTTATAAAGCCCAGAATGGACTTTGTTTTATAATAAAAAGACTGTGGGTATTTGATTCGTACAGGCTCAGAGGCAGTCCAGGCTTTCTGTGCAGTGAACACCATGACCAAGGGAACTTATAGAAGAGAGAGTTTATTTGAGCTTGTGGTTCTAGAGGGATCAGAATCCATCATGGCAGAGAGGCATGGTGGCAGGAGGTGGCTGGAGGAAAAAGTGGAGCACTCCCATATTCCAACAGGCATAGAAATCAGAGACTGGCAAGATTTAAAAACTCTCAAAGCCTGCCCCTCTAAGGTCATGTTTCCTCTAGCAAGACCACACCTAAAACCTCCCAAAGCAGCGCCACCAACTGGAGGCAAAATGTCCAAATACTTGGAGTCTATGGGAGACATTCGCATTCAAACTACCACAATCTGCTTCTAGATTTTGTGTCGCAACAGTAAGATGTTGTAAGGAACAAAACAAGAAAATGTATGCTCAATGAATAATGTAGTGCCAAGCATAAAATAAGATGCATTAAATAATAGTTTCTTTCTTTCCTTCCTTGAGCATGATTACCCAGATTTCATTATTCAGTTCAGTATTTAAATTTGGTTAGAAGTCAGGAATGTGAATCCTTTCTAAATTTTAATATTCTTAGATAGTAAAGTTTTCCAAGGCTTTTGTTTTGTTTTGTTTTGTTTTCTTTATGTAATCACTTTGTTTTTTGTCCAAAATTAAGGAATTTTTTATTTTAGTTAAGATTATTTTTAAAGAATCAAGCCTCTATCATCATTGGAAATTTTGACAGGCATAAAATACCTTAAATTACATAAATTCAACACTTTTCCCACATTATCCTAAATTTTTATTCCATATTACTGTTTCTTTCATGAGCATTTCATGAGATAGTGAAAAATTACGTGATGAAACTAGGCATAGTGGCACATACAGTGAACTCAACTCTTGGAAAGCTCAGGCACAAGGATCAAGTCTTCAAGGCCAGGGGGCTGGGAGATGACTGCAGTTAAGAGCGCCGGCTGCTCTTTCAGAGAACCGAGGTTAGCTTCCAGCACCCACATGGCTGTTGACAACCATTTGTAACTCCAGTTTCAGGGGATTCAACATCCTCTTCTGACCTCCATGGGCACTGCACAACATGGGTACACTTCCATGCAGGCAATACTCATATATAAAATAAAAATAATAAGACAAAAGAGTTCAAAACCAGCCAATTTAAACTACAGAAAACAAACAAATACAAAAAGAATGATGTGGGGTTGGAGAGATGGCTCAGTGGTTAAGAGCACTGACTGTTCTTGAAGAAGACCGAGGTTCAAATCCAGCACCCACATGGTGGCTAACAATCTCCTCAGGCATTGGCATTGCACAACACAGGTGCACTTGCACACATGCACGCAATATACACATACGCATAAAGTAAAAAAATAATAATGAAGCAAGAAGAATTATGTAATGAAACTGGGCATGACACATTGATAAATCTAGCTCTTGGAGAAGCTGAGGCAGGAGGATCATGAGCTCTGGGCCAGCCTGGCCTATAGAATAGCAAGGCCTTGTCTCAAAACAAAAACAAAAAGAATTATGTGATAGTAACCTTAAATAATATCTGTTACTCAGTGCATGTGAAACTTAATGCTTGATTGCTATATAGTCAGTAGAAATTGTGCTGTGTGAATTTGTGTCAGGACATTGTCTCACTCCCTAATTCAGGCTGCCCTCAAATTCATGTGGCCCAGACTGGCCTTGAACTCATGGCAGTCCTCCTGTTTCAAGCTCCAGAGTGCTGATTACAGGGGTGAACCAGTACACCCAGTTGAAAAAATATTTTTTCATTTATACATGTTCAGATTATTATTTAGATTGTGCTAGAGAGATGAAGTGTTCTAGAACAAGAACAATGTAGTTCTGTGTTAGAACATTTGACTAGCATGTAAAAGGCCCTGAGTTGGATCCTTACCACCCCTCTCCCCCCAAAAAAAGCAGACAAGAAAGAAAAGAGTTGTTGGTGTGGCATCATATAATGCCAGGATTGGGGCCAGCAGTTTTAGATAGTTTTAACAGGTAAGGGTGTTTGCTACCAAGCCTGACAAGTTGAGTTTGATCCCCAGGACCCATGTGGTAGGAGAGAACCAACTTTTGGAGGTTGTTCTCTGACCTCCACACAAGTGCCATGGCACACTTACCCACACCTCCCACACCCAAAACGAAGAAATGTAATAAAAGAAAAGTTAGCAAAGCCATTTTGTTACTTAAAGTGGGCACTGAACACAAATCAGATAGACTCACTGCATGACATGACTAGGTAGAATTGTCAAGTAGTGTTGAGAGTCAAGTCAAGGTCTTACACAAACTAGGTGTGTGCTTGCCAGCCCCGAGGTACACCTCCAGCACATACTTTTTCTTTTCAGTTTAAAAACTTGCCATGTCACCATTCTTTTAAATATAAATCAAAAGTATAAAGCTGAGACAGAGCTCTGGTTTATTCCTCCCAGAAACTTCTCTGTATCCGTACTGGACATTCTCTCTGCCTTATTTGTCCTTTGAGATGATAAACAATTTTCAGATTCTTAGAATGGTGGTGTGTTGGTGTTAATATCTTTTTTGCTTGGTATGCTTTTGCCATCTTTAATTAGTAACAGAATCTAAACATAAAATGATTCAAGACATTTTCTTAGAGTATTAATTAGCTTGACATTCAGAATCTGCAGTTCTGCTTAATTTGGCTTTTTGTCCTCCTGTTACTCAATTTCATTTTACATACTATCTGTTCCAGTCAAGCATTGTGGGTCAGTCCATACTCTGATTTTTGTTTTGTTTTTTGCCCTGGAGCTGGGAACTAAACCCAGGGCCTTCTAGGTCAGCACTCTACCACAGAGCTGAGGTCACAGCAGCTGAGTCAGTTCTGTCAGAAGAAGCCTTATACTGTGTGTGTGATTGACAGTGTTCTCGTCTCACCACATGACAGCCATCGTTCAAGGCTTAGTGCAGATTTCTATGTATCTGCCACTCAGGAAGCATTCTTTAACCATTCTAACTTCAGTCTCATAATATATTTTGTAAGAAAGAACTATCCATTCCAGTACCAATTAAATACTTGTTTAAAATAGAATTTTGGCTCCCATCTGACTCCCTGAGGTCAGGTCCCAGAATTGAATCTTTTAAAAGCTACTCTGTGTAGCTTTGGAATCACTATTCTCAGTCTATTATTATGAAGTACACAGGACATACTGTATAGTATACACCTATTTTAGCCATTTTTCCTAGTTAGCCTCTCACTGACCAAAACCAACTTGGAGAAGAAAGAGTTATGTTACGTCTCCCAGATCATAGTTCATCACTGAGGGAGCCCAAAGTAGAAACTCAGGGCAGGAACCTAGAACACAGAACATGGAGAATAGCTGTTTCTTGGCTTGTTCTCCTAGCCATGCTCAACCTACTTTCTTATACAGTACAGGCCCACCTGCCCACAGTGGGCTGGGTCCTCCCATATCACTCAACAATCCAGAAAATGCCCCATAGATGTGGCCACAGGCCAGTCCAATGGAGGCAGTTCCTGAATTGAGGCTCCCTCAACCCAGGTATATCAAGTTGACCACTGAAGCCGTCCAGCACCCCATACGTTGTTGTTTGCCTGTGTGTCTTATCTCCTGTCATGAAATACAAAACCATTTGCTATATCATGTGTATTTGTATATCATTTAGTATGTCTTCATAATTTAAATTTTTTATTTCATTTTGTTTTAGTTTGTGTGTACACATGTGGAAGTCAGAGCAAAACTTGCAGGAGTTGATTCTCTCCCATGTGGAACCCAGGGATTGAGCTCAGATCATCTGGCTTGGCACCAAGTGCATTTACCCACTGAGCCATCTCACTGGGTCCATATCTTAAGTTTGAGTTGGATGTTCCATAGGCTTCATGTAGCAATGTCTAAATAATTTGCAGAACTTAATAATTTCATTTTGACTTCCAGTACCCAGCAGGATGCTGTTTTTGAATTAATTTCCATGGGTTTTAATGTGGCATTATGGTATACCAAGTATGCTTCAAGACTGGCTGGAAAAGAAAAGTAAGTTAAAAAGCAAAGGTTATGTATATGTATGTTGTCTTTTAAATATATTGAGTTTCATAATTTAAGTCTAGGCTATTTATTAAAAAGCACCACTTGGGGGCTAGAGAGGTGGCTCTTCAGTTGAGAACACTGGCTGCTCTTGCAGAGGACCCAGGTTCAGTTCCCAGCATCCATGTGGCACCTCACAGCTGTCTATGACTCCAGTTCAGGGGATTCGTGCCCCCTTCTGGTCTCCACAGGCATTACGTGCACATGGTACGCTTACATACATGTAGGCAAAACATTTTATATATACAAATTTTTTTTTAATTGGTAATTTAGTTATAATTCATTTATACATAGGAATGTTCAATCATTTAAAAATGAAGTTGAGCCAGGCAAAGTGCTGCATGCCTTTAATTCCAGTACTGGGGAGGCACAGGCAGGTAGATCTCTGTTCAAGGCCAGCCTGGTCTACATAGTAAATTGCAAGCCTGTTGGGGCTACATAATGAGATCTTTCTAAAAATAAGGAAATTTTTTAAAAAGTTGAATTTTTGTCTGCTGATGTAAAATGATTAAAATGAGTAGCATAGGGTGTATAGCTGCTTGTGTTTGCTTGTGACAGAAGAGTCTAGAAGGAAAAATAAGACTGTCCACCATTTACCTCTAGGTAAATTTTCAACTCTAGAGTCTTAGGATATGTTTCATGTGCATTCCTTACTTTTATTTTTTTGGTCTTTTTGAGACAGGGTCTCCCTGTAGCCCCAGCTGGCCTGGAACTCACTATGTAGACCAGGCTGGCCTTGAACTCACAGAGATCCGCCTGCCTCTGCCTCCCGAGTGCTGGGACTATAGGCGTGCACCACCATGCCTGGCCTGCATTCTTTACTTTTTAAGATTAGATTTTTTTTAAAGGAAGAAAAGTAGGGGTAAGATACCCAAATAACTATTTGGTTTCCTGATAATGCATTGACTGTTTTAGTGCCAGAAATAAGACCCTTCCTCATCCTCTAATGTAATCTTTATCTTTAAGTATAACTGAAGATGAAGCAAAAGAAGTTCATCGAAGCCTGAAAATTGCAGCTGGGATTTTTAAACATTTAAAGGTAAAGAGTGTGTCTGTGTGTGTGTGTGACTGACATTGATTCTTGAACAGCTTTTACTGTATGGGGGGATTAATTACTCTGTTATGTAAAAAGAACTAGTAAAGTCCCTCCAGGAACTGCGGACGTGTTGTAGTCTGACTTCAATTGCTGTAACAAAACACTCTGACCAAAACCAGCTTGGAGAGGAAAAGTTTGTTTATTTTATATCTCCCAGGTCACAGTCCATCACTGAGGGAGCCCAAGGTAGGAACTCAGGGTAGAAACTTGGAACACAGAACATGGAGGATAGCTGTTTACTGGCTTGCTCTCCTGGCCCTTGCTCAACCTGCTTTCTTACACAATACAGGACCACCTGCCCAGGTTTGGTACTGCCCACTGTGGACTGGGCCTTCCCACATCACTCAACAGTCAAGAAAATGCCCCATAGATGTGGCCAGAGGCCAGTCCAATGGAGGAAATTCCCCAATTAAGGGTCCCTCTACCCAGATATGTCAAGTTGACAACGAAAGCTATCCAGCACAATTGACCCCTTGTCAACTTGACACACAGACATCACTGTTAAACCCAAAGCTTTCCATTTCTTATCCTCAAGGTATGGTGTTACTATCACAACATGAAACAGTACAACTTTAAAATTCCCACAGTCCTTAAAATAACTCACTCTTTAATTTAAAAGATCAAAGTCTTTTTAAAAGTCTACTGTGGGCTCCTGCAAAATTAAAAGCAAGTACTGTTTTATTTCAAAGGGAAGAATCGGGCACACTTAAACAAAACCTAAGTCCAGCAAAGTAGCTCAGGACTGGACATCTGGGATTCACTCATGAACTTTTGGGCTCCAAAGGGTTTCAGTAGCTCAACTACTCTCTGACTCTCCCATCCACAGCACACAAAGCTTGTCTCACAGGCCCAGGCCAGCTCCATTCCACACCTGCTGCTACCCTTGTTGATCATCCCATGGTCCTGCCATCTCCAAAAAGCTGGGGTCTCTGCTGAAACTGAGGCTCCACCCTCACGAATGGGTTCTTCTGGCCTCTCAGTGTGTAAAGCTTTAGATTGCATGACCCCTTCAGTCCTGGGGTCTTCACTGCAACTATGGCTGCACCCACCAATGACCTTTCTCAGGGTGCCAAGCCTCAGCTGCTGTCTGTGACCCCTTCATACTTTCAACACCAGAACCATGCAGGAGACTCTTACACATTACCAAGTCCTGCTTCCAGCTTGAGATGGATTCTTGGGCCCCCTCACTGCTTGTTTGCTGACCCTGAGGAAATATTTGCCAGAAGATTTTGCCTAAATGATGTTGGATGTTACTTGTTATAACTGATTTTTCAGTCCCAACTAACCAGCAGCAGTTGTCCCAGTTATTAAAGCAAAGGCTTCACTTCAGTGGTTCTGGGGTTTTGTTTTTGGGGGTTTTTTTTTTTTTTTTGGTCTTTTTGAGACAGGGTGTCCCTGTAGTCCTAGCTGGCCTGGAACTCACAGATCTGCCTACCCTTGCCTCTGCCTCCGAGTGCTGGGACTAACAGTGTGCACCACCATGCCCAGTCTCTTAATCATAGCTGATTCTTCAGCCCCAGTTGACCAGAAGCCACAGATTCTAATTCAGAATATCACCCCAACAGCACTGATAGTCTCTGCTTCTCTTTGAAGCTTCATCAGCCAGACTTCCATTGTCTGCAGCTCTTTCAGCATAACTCTTCCAAGCATCACAGCAACAAACTCTTAAATACTCAATGGCTTTTCCAGCCCAAAGTTCCAGACTCTTCCACAATCCTCCCAAAAACAACTGGGTCAGGTCTGTCACAGCATTAGCCTTCTCTCTGGTACCAATTTCTGTTCTAGTTTGCTTTCAATTATTATGACAAAACACTGACCAATACCAACTTGGGGAGGAAAGGGTTTATTTGACTTGCATCTACTGGGTCACAATTTATCAGGGAGCCCAAGGTAGGAACTCGGGGCAGGAACCTGGAGGTAGGAGCTGAAGCACAGACCACGGAGGAATGCTACTTACTGGCTTGCCTCCCTGGTCTGTGCTCAGCCTGCTTTCTTAAATAATACAGAGCAACCTGCCCAGGGCCCACCACCCACAGTGGCCTGGGCCCTCCCACTTTACTCAGCAATCCAGAAAATGCCCCACAGAAGCCACAGGCCAGTCCAATAGAGGCAGTTCCCCAGTTGAGGCTCCCTCTACCCAGGTTTGTCAACTTGACAACTAAAGCTATCCAGTACAAGGGGTTTGATTCAAGAACAAACTGCTCCTTCCACCTCCCCATACCAAAGTCTAGATGCCAAGTGCTTTTTCTAAATGGCATAGCATTTGTATGTAACCATGCATATCTGTTATCTAACACAATGTAAATGCTCTGAAAATACTTGTCATACTGTATTGTCTTGAGATAACGACAAAGGAAGTCTGTACATACTCATTAAAGAGGCAGTTTTCAGAGGCAATTTTTTTTTTTCCAAGTATTTTGAATCTGAGGTGATTGACTGCAGATGTAGTGTGCTCAAGTACATGGGCTAACTGTATATATTCTCCTATACTAGCTGTCTTATTGGTGAGTTACAGCCAATTACTAAATGTTAACATTTTTGTCCTAAAATCAGTGACCCTTAGAACTAGAAAATTAAAATTGTAATAGTCTGCTTATTTTTCTGTCTTTGAAAAGATAGGCGAAAACAAAACATTAATGTTCATACCATTTCAAAGCGCTCTCTGCAGCAGTTGCCAGGAGCAGTCACAAATTTATAGAACTGAACTTGGGATTTTGCATTCTGGGTATCTCAGTGAGTACACTGGAGTGCCAGTCACTGCATTCTGATGCTATCAAATAGCCTGGAGATGGGATGGGAACTCGGGGAGAGAATAATACATCTTCTAGCACTACTGTCCTTCCACTGCATTCTAAGTAAACTGATTACTGAAGGCCTCTTGGAGGCCAGCTCTGAGCTTCTCTTCATGCTGTGAGACTGAATTAGGTGGAGAATTGAAGTATTTTCTGTTCCTCATTAGTTATTAATGTGAATGAACAATTCAGGTTGTCGTACAAAAGGGAATTTTGATTACTAAATGTGCTCTAAGGTGAAAGTTTGGTTTGCATTATATTGTGTGGCAAAGCAGTCTCTATACCCTAAATTTTGCATTGAGTTCCTTTTCCTTATAAAAGCTCACTTAGTGTTCAAGAACTTGTGTTCTCTGTAAATTATTGCTATTGCCTTTTTCACAAGTTTTGTTTGTACTTTGATTTTTTGGTAAGTCTTTAAGTTGAGTATCATAACTTATACCTTCTTCACGTCTAACAATTGGATTAAAATAAAACTTGGTGTGTTTGTTTTCTTTTTATTTTCTTTCTCTCAGGAAAGTCATATCCCCAAACTTCTTACGCCCGCAGAAAAAGGAAGGGATCTAGAGGCGAGGCTCATGGATGCTTACATCATTCAGTGCCAGGCTGAGGCCCAAGAAGGTAGCCTCAATATTGTAAGATTTCTTTGAAAAAAAAAAAAAAAAAAGAATGTTTATATTGGCTTTTGATTCTTTTTTAAAAAAAAGTCAGAATTGGCTGTAATTGAGTTTCAGGTTTAGGAAACTGATTGGGGTCATTTTGGCCTCTTTTAATTGCATGCCCTTTGTGACTGCATTGTCATTAGTTCTTTAACTGTCTTTCCTCCTGTATTGAACCCATTCTTTTTCTTTCTCCACTCATTGACTTGCCTTGAAGTCTTCATCTTTCAACTGCAGAATAAAACTTTCCAAGCTTTTATCTTTATTTCAAGCTCCAGTGCTTTGAAAGTATTTTTCTTTTTTATATCATGCTATTTTGTAGTAATTCTCTGGGATTGGCTAGTGATTTAAAGATATATCAGAAACACAAGTTGAGTGTTTTCTGTTCATGCTTATATTGTCTATAAATTTTCACATTAAAACTTGCTTTTTTAAAAAACTATATAAAAATCTCAAAGGAGGGCATCAAGGCTGCCTTTTGCTTTTATTACTGAACTTAATTGGGTATGAACTTACAGATTCTATTTTTTGTGTGTTGGTTACAGTAACCATTGCCCGAGCAATTGAACTAAAACATGCTCCTGGACTGATTGCTGCATTGGCCTATGAAACAGCCAATTTCTATCAAAAAGCAGGTAAGCTTATTCCTGTGGTTATACTTTTAGTCTCTAGATTTTCACATTTATTTGCTCTTGGATAAATGGGAACAAAACAAGTTTCTTCGATTTTCCAGTACAAAACTAGAATCTTAATTTTCTTGATCTTGTTTAGAATAAGAGGCCAGACTTTGCAGCACGGTATTCCAGAGACTGAGGCAAGAGGCTTATACCTAGGCCTGCCTGGGCAACTTAGTGAAACCCTGTCTCAAAACAAAAGCTTAGGACTGGGGAGATAGCTCCATAGGTACGTGGGTAAAGTGCTGGACGTGCAAGCATCAGGACCTGAGTTTGATCCCCAGGACATCAACAAGCCAGGTGTGGTGGCATGTGTTTGTAATCCTGGAACTGAGGAGGCAGAGTCAAGGACTCCTGTGGCTTACTACCCAGCCAGCCTGTCTAGCAGAATTAGTAAGATCTAGGTAAAATTAAGAGGCAGGCCCTGTCTCATAAAAGCACATAGAAACATGCATATACACATACAAGTAAATCATTTGTTACCAGCTCATAGCTAGCAGTAGAGCACTTGGTTCACTCCCTGGACCTCACAGTTAGTATGTTACATGACGTCTAATGGATAAGACAATGTTGTACTTTTCAGCCGGTTAAAGCTAATAATTATGTAGCTTTTTTGTTTTTTAAAATTGTTTTTGGTCTTCATAACAATTTTTTAATGTTTTGGTTGTTAGCCTTAGCCTTTAACGGCTGCACTATCCCTCCAGCCCCATAACAATTTTTTAATTACTATGCTTAGTTCAGATAAGAAACGCATATTAAAGAGTTTATATGACCATCTGTAACGTGACTGCTAGCATGTCAGAACTTGTGTCTTGGAATCTAGGACACATACATAGGTTTCTGTCTGGGGACTGCTTACTATGTTAGTTGCTGAATAGATAAGCAGGGCAGATTTGTAGTATAGGGAAGCAGTTAATCCCAGTACTTCTGAGACAGAGACAGGTGGAGCTCTGTGAGTGCCATGCCAGTCTGGTCTACATAGCTTGTCCTAGACCAGCCGGACTTACATAGTGAGACCCTATCTCAAAAAAAAAAAAAAAAAAAAAAAAGTAGTTTGTTTCAAAAATAAATGTTTTTTGCTAGGTGAGATGATACACACTTAATCCCAGCACTTAGGAAGCTGGGGCAGGATCATTGCAAGCTTAAGGCCAGCCTGATCTATATAGTGATAGGCAACTTAGTGAAACCTTGTTTCAGTAATAATAATAGTAATAGGTTTGTTAACCTGTCTGACAAGTGTAACCTTGATTTGTATTTGGAACTTGTAGCCTTGTATATTTAGAATTCATTATTAAAAATCAGAATGAGTCTAATTGGATTAAATTGGAATTTTCTTTTAAATATTTTATTATTTTTATTTTATGTTTATGAGTGTATTGCCTGTATGTAGATAGGTGCACCCATGTTGTACAGTGCCCCAGGAGGTCAGAAGAGGGTGTTGGATCCCCTGGAACTGGAGTTACTGATAATTTTTAGTCCCCATGTGGGTGATGGGAATCGAACCCAGGGCCTCTCCAAGAGCAGCCAGAGCTCTTAACCACTGAGCCATCTCCCCAGCCCCGGATTGGCATTTTCTAAAAAGAATTTCCAAGCCTCACACATAGACTTGCTCTGTGAAGGAATTGCAGAGTAGATAAGTAGAAATCGTTACAGGATTTGAAAGTGAAGAAAGGTTTGACAATGATAATGAAGTAGAAAGTAAAGGAGAAAAAAAATCAGGGAGCTGTTGGATTGTGTGAGCATGTGTGGACATGTGAGTGAATAAATACATACATATATTTAAATACTTTAAAAAAATATTTTGTGGGGCTGGAGAGATAGCTCAGCAGTTAAGAACACTGACTGTTCTTACAGAAGACCAGGTTCGAATCCCAGCACCCACATGGCAGCTAACAACTGTCTGTAACTCCAGTTCCAGGGGATCTGACAGCCTCTTCTGTCCTTGATTGGCATTGCATGACACGGGTACACTTACCTACATGCAGGCATAACACTCATACACATGAGTTCAAGGCCAGCCTGGTCTACATAGTGAGTTCCAGGACAGCTGGGGCTACAGGGAGACCCTGTCTCAAAAAGACAAAAAATAAAAATAATAAAAATATTTAAAAAGTTTTTTTGTTTATTATTTTTATTTTATGTGTATGAGTGCATTGCCTGCATATATGTAAGTGCATCCGTGTCATGTAGTGCCTCCAGTGGAAGTCAGAAGAGGGTATTGGATCCTGTGGAACTGGAGTTACGGACGGTTGTTAACCACCATGTAGGTGCTGTGAATCAAAACCGTGTCCTCTGCAAGAGCAGCCAGTGTTCTTAACCGCCGAGCCATCTCTCCAGCCCCCAGAGTGAATGTGTGTGTGTGTGTGTGTGTGTGTGTGGTATGTGTGGGGGGGTGCGGTTTTGGCTTTTTGAGACAGGGTCTCCCTGTAGCCCCAGCTGTCCTGGAACTCACTATGTAGACCAGGCTGGCCTTGAATTCACAGAAATCCGTCTACCTCTGCCTCCTGAGTGCTGGGATTAAAGGTGTGCGCCACCACGCCCAGTATTTTTTAATGCAGGGTTCAGTGATGGTAGGTGATTGAGATGGGTTGTTTATGACAGGTGAGAGACTACTGTCTGTGTGGCTATATTATATAAAATTTTAAAGGCATAATGTGGATGAATATTTGCTTTGAAGTTCTTAATCATGTCTCTTATCATTATTTTTAACTTAAAGTTACCTTAGCCATCAAATCAAAGAGATACTTATGATTCAATATATAATGATGGGAAAATAAATCACTTGAAATAAGTGTTTAGGGTTTGTTGTTTTAACAATAAAAGCTTGAATTTAGACTAGATTGCATTCTGCTTTTAGCACTAGAACGTAGGAACTAAGAAATGTTCTAGTGAAATGATACTTTGCTTTTTAAAATGTAACTTTAGATCATACTTTATCCAGTTTGGAGCCTGCGTACTCTGCTAAATGGAGAAAATACCTTCACTTGAAAACATGCTTCTACACGGCTTATGTAAGTACTAGGAAGCCGCCTAAAGACATTGGATTTCCTCCCTCCCGCCCCTTGATTGCCAGGTCTCCCATCTTAACCACTCTTCATTACCAGCATACCAATAACGGGCAGCTCTGAGCAGATGTTCACTGGCAGCAGTGAGTGGAAAGAGATGATGCAGAATTGTAGACCGGAAATTGCTATGTGATCCAAAACCCACTTTCAGGCTGGATACTTGATGAGAATTTTCTTAGTTGCTATATCCTGTCCATTGAGAAGAATATTGGCAAATTCTAATTCTAAGGGTGTGGGAATATGGCTCAGTGGGTAAAGCACCTACTGCACAGTATGAGGGACCTGAGCTTGACTCTCCAGAACTCTGGTAAAGCTGAATACAGTGGTGCATATCCTACAGTGGGGTAGAAGGCAGAGACAAGAATCCTTGGAAGCTTGCAGGCCAGATAGCAGCAAACAGCAGGAGAGCCTGCCTCAAACAAGGTAGAAGGTGAGGACTGGCACCCATGGTTGTCTTCTGACTTCCACATCTGCACAATGGCAGATACCTGCCATGGCACACACCTAGCCACACTTTCACTCCTCTCTCTCTCTCTCTCTCTCTCTCTCTCTCTCACACACACACACTGATTTAAAAAATACAGTCTTAAACCATACCTCAGTATATGTCACCTAGGTGAAGGATCATCAATATCCTATGTAAATTTATTTATTTTATGTGTGTGAGTGTTTTGCCTACATGTATGTAAGTGTACCATTGTCATACAATGCTTGTGGAGGCCAGAAGAACTTGAATTAGAGATGGTTGTTAGCTGCCTTATGGGTGCTGGGAATCAAACCCAGGTCCTCTGCAAGAGCTCTGGTATGCATGTTTTAGAAGTTCCTTACCAGTTTATTATACTCTCCAGACTTGTTTCAAGATCAGTATCATGTGAAAGATGGTAAAACCAGATCTAAATAAATACTTGTATTCCTTACATGTTACAATCTCTTTTCAAACACTACTAACTACTACCTAAGGCCATGTGCATCTCTGTGTTGATAGACGAGTGAACTTTCAGGCTGATGCTTTTCTCCTAAAACTTGTGATCCTTGCTGGGCATGCCAGCCTGGGCTATAGAAGACTTTGTTGCAGGAAAATAGATAGATACCTCCTCAAAACACTCTTCTATCCCTCTGCAGAAGCCTAATAATGTCTTCCTTTATCTGCTGTGCCCTGATTTTCAAAACAAGTTTTAACTAGTAACTGTTGCTCTCAGGGTATGATTAGGAGTCTACTTTGGCTCAGAGCTGGGAATAATTCCACTTTTGATGTAGACGGATGGGGAAAAGCCTACTCAAGTAAACAGAAGAGACTGCAGTGGTAGTTCTAACAGTGGCTAATGGTATTTATCTGGCATGTGCCAGTGAGGGGGGGAAATTCATAAAAATGTCTTTCTTTTATCAGGCTTACTGTTACCATGGTCAGACTTTGTTGGCTAGTGATAAATGTGGAGAAGCAATCAGGTCTCTTCAAGAAGCAGAAAAATGTAAGTATTGCTTTCAGAATTTTAATGCCCCTAAAATAAAGTTCCATTATAAAGAGAATGAACAGACTTTGGCTGAGTTCATGAAAAAGAATGGGAGTGGGCAACATAATTGAAGGAAAGAAAAAATAATTCTAAGCCTCAAGCCTGTAGAGCACCTTGCACTCTGTTTTGTTGTTGGTGCTGCTTTTACACCTGGGAAAAAGCAGCACAAGTCTTCTTTCCCGTCTCTGGTTTAAGGCTTTGTCCTGTACACAGGCAGTGCTTAACTATTCTCAGAAGATTTTTACCCCTCTCTGCAGCATATGCCAAGGCAGAAGCTCTGTGTAAAGACTATGGGGAAACGAAAGGACCAGGACCCACAGTCAAGCCATCAGGACACTTGTTCTTCAGAAAGCTGGGAAGCCTTGTGAAGAATACCCTAGACAAATGCCAGAGGGAGAATGGCTTCATGTGAGTCCTCTACTCTTTACGAGCAGTAGTACTTCGATTTGTAGCTGTTGAAATATTAGCATTTTAGTAGTGTTGCTGTCTCTATCGGCCTCTGTTCCCAAAGGTTTTACCTTGAATTGCATATGAGTTTCGCATTAAAGTTATCTTTAGTGATAAAATTCAAATGTGTAGGGCCTTTTATGCACTATGTAGATGACATAAAAAATGGATTTTTTAATCAAACCATGAATTGTTGACATAGAGCTCATTTCATGAAGACACTCGTGTAAAGTCTTGATTTTCTGTTTCCATCTGTTACATGTGTGAATATGTATGTTTGTGTTACATGAAACTTCTTTTGCATATTGATCTCACTCTGGTTTTAGCTAAGTTGAAAGAGGAAAATTCATTTTCTTAGACTTCTTCCTTGTCTTTGCAGGTAGTAAGATTCAGACTGTTACTAAATCAACGTGCAGACTGTAGTTTGGTCCTTCGTAGGTTGGTAGAATCGATCCTGTCCCTACTTGCCTCTGTAGTCTTCCTGTGATACTCCATACTGGGTCATGCGGAACTTAGACTTGTCTAGTTCGGCTTTCACCACTTCCTTTGGAAATAGTCACCCAGCCTCCACATCTAGGGCCACTGCCCTCTTTGTATTCTCTTAGATCCTTAGTAGCTTCAGTTCCATTGTATTGTAGTCAGTAGGGTTTCTCAGCTTCCTCATTCCTCTTCCTCATCGTCGGCCTTGAACATATTAGGCACTCAAGTAGTTGCTGAATCAATGAATGAACCACTGTTCAAATTGCTCTTTTGCAGTTACTTTCAAAAAATTCCAACAGAAGCCCCACAACTGGAACTCAAAGCAAATTATGGGCTGGTAGAGCCTGTGCCTTTTGAATTTCCTCCTCCAAGTGCTCTCTGGACACCAGAAACATTGGCTGCGTTTGATCTCACCAAGAGACCCAAGGATGACAGTGTATGAGAACGGGGTTTTTCCTTCCATTCAGAAAACTTTAAAAAGAATTTAGAGTTACCATATTGATATTTTTGCCTTTTTCAGTAGGTCCATATATTTGTCTAAATGCTCAACTCGGTAATTTTAGTGCTTGATCTGTTGTATCATAGAATGCTCTCAGGTAGCCCCTAGACCTTCAGTGTCCTCTGGTTTTCTTTGTAGTTGATGGACATTGTTTTCAGCACATTGTCTCATTTTTACAAGGTGTTGGTCTTTCCCTTAAAAGAGTGCGGGGCAGATGGTCCATGTGGATGTTGCCAGTGCAGCATTCTTCTGACTTGGCATTGTTGCAGGGTATTTGAAGAGTTGCTTGAATATCAACATTCCCTGAATCATCTAGGAGTAAAAGAAGAATGCTTTTAGTCATTTGTATCTAACTGCACATGCTGCTCTAAATCAAACTGTAGCTTATGTAGAAAGTTTCAGATCTAATTACCCAAACACTATAGAGATCTGTGGCAGGAGTGGGAATTATTTTGTAACCGCAATTCGTAAGTTTCCTCCCTTAAGTTATTCCTAAAAATAATCATCTTCATATCCTGTTAAGCCTCTAAAATAATGTCCTAAAAGATAGTTTATTATTATCATCGATCATCTTCAGCCTTCAGAGTTCCATGTACGTGCATTCATTCCTCCTAGAGATTATGGAGGAGGAGCACTATTGCTGGACTCTTGGCTGCAGTTGAGGTTTTCATTGGGATGTCGCCTGGTGACAGCATTTTAAAATGTGGCTTCTGGAATACCATGGTTAGCCCAGTGCTGGGTCTTTTAGTACAGCACCTTTGAAAGGTCTGAAGTGCAGAAGCTCTATGTGCTGCATTTGCATATTTACAGTGTTTCTCCTTCTCCTTAGGCCAAACCCAGGCAAGAAGAAGAAGTGAAGCCTGTGAGAGAACCAGATATCAAACCTCAGAAGGACACCGGGTGCTCTATCTCCTAAAGTGTGATACACACGTAGAATCCCTCCACTAGTCGATAAGATAAACCGTGGGACTGAAGTCTGTAGTTCTTGATTTCTCTGAAGCCCATAGGATAATAAATTCAGAGGGACATGGCCTTTGGTTTATTTTTTCTTTATTTTAACATAGAGATGGTTCATGTTTCCAGACTCTCCTTTCTTAAATCAGGACAACCTTTGGAAGGCTTTGTATGTGCCGCTAATGAGTGTGAGGGTTGGATTGCTTTGAACTCTAGGTAGTGAGTTTCAAGTTAATGTGTTTTCAGGTGTGTTTTTCTGCCTTTACCAAAAATGTTGACTTTTCCTTCCTATTTGATGGCAGAAGAATGATAGCTTGGGTTTTGAACAGAGGTTTTTCCTCTCACTGTTGTTTTCAAATTATTGCTGACTTGGTAAGCCCTGAATCATTTGTCTTCTGGTAGAAAAAAATCAAAGTTAAAGACCAGAAAACTTTCAAACCTTCCTTACACATACCAAAATCTATCATATACTTGAAAACCAGCGTTTACCAGTGTGTGGCTTACTTGAAAATGAGCAATGATAGATCTGTTGAGACTGTTCAGAACTTGCTGTTACCCTGGTGGTCCCATGCTTTGTCACTCACCTTCAGTAACCAGCCAGTGGTGGTGGTCTTTTGTTTCTTTATTTGTTCTGTTTTAATTTTTGTGCATTTCATACAGTACTTCTTGATCTTATTTAGACCCTTCCCCTAGCTGCACAGCCCCCTCTGGATTTTATGCATTCTGTCGTATATGTTAAGGCCTTCAAGTTTGTGTCCCCAAATGTCTCTTGGAGTGAGTTCATCTACTGGATGCTAGTCAAGTCCACCAATCTAACAAGACAGTGGTTTTTTACAAGTACATTTTGTAATAAATTTTTTACTTAAAATAGAGAGCTTTGTACTGGCACTTGGAATTTCTATGTAAAGAGAGATGAAAGGAATGGAAAATGCTTTTTGAATCAAGAAGTAAAATATTGTATGATGTGAAGAAAACCTTTATAAACTCAGATGAAATGGGTTGTCCTGAATACACTGGCAATGTCTTTGTTAAGAAGATTTAGGAAAATGCCTTTTGTTATCTGATTTCCATGTCCATTGTTTTTAATATGCTTTTCTATCACACATACATACATACATACATACATACATACATACATACATATCCTATCAAAATTGTGTTGCTTTAGGCCAAAGGCTATAGCAGCAGAAAGTTAGGAAATAGATACAGATAACAATATGATCTTCAAAGTGGATTGTGGTATCTATACAAATTTGGATATGTACAAAGTTGGGAAATAGTGGGTGTGTAATACTTCAAGAAAAGTCAGAAGTCTGTGGGTTATCCTAATTATTCTCCTGAAGTGTTCATTTCCTTTTATCACTGACAGATTGGTTCACTTAATAGGAATAATAGTAGTTGTGTATTTCGAGAGCTTGCTATGTGCCAGACAGTTTACTGGGCACTTAGATTAAACCTTTGAGTTCGCATAGCAACACCGTGCGAAGTACGTAAAGTTTGTACAAAAGTATTGAAATAGGAATATACATTTCATTATGAAGAATGAACAGATTACACCTGTCAATCAAGGCTGTGTTCAATAAATATACAATTTATACTCCTTTTAAAAAGCTACATAGAATCAGTGAGGGTTTTTTTATATGTAGAAATGCTGATTACTGCTTACAGTACAGTTCTTAATATTTGAAGCTGCTGTCTTCCAAGTATTTGGAGTAGCTACTGAATGGGCATTAGTTTTATTTTGCTCTCTGTAGAAAAAAAGTACTTTATTAAATTTCAGCGTATTTTGGTAGTCCTTCCTAGTGTCATTTGTTGTTATATACCAGTTACTGACAAAACTTTAAATAGTACTTGATGCTGGCTCTTTACTTCGCCTGCAGGACCTCTTGTCTTAGGTACTAGTGCTCATTAACCTAGATAGTAAATTTTCACATTGCAGTTCTTGTGTACTAACCTGCCATACGGGAAATGAAAACACATAATACACTCATTGCTTCTGTAAAATGCAGTAAATACACTATTTAAATCCATAATTGGCAACATTCCCATAATCAGATAGTAAATCTTCTGCAAAAGTAACACTGTATAACTAACATATCCCATTAGATAAGTTTTTGAAGTGGTTGGGAAATCATTGGCTGTAAAGAACTTGCATGAAGGCTGTGGAGAGATGTAACTATTAGCTGTTGTAGATCTCTCATCGGGCAAGGGCAGCTAGCATGCTGCATCTACTATGTGTTATTTGTATAATGATTTATCTTTTTATTTATAAAATAAAAGCACTTTTACTTACATTCTCATTGGAATTTTGATTTTTTTTTTTTACATTTAACTGGTGAACAGTTAATGCAGCACAGATTCTTTTTTTCTATATTTATTATTTTTATTTATGTATATGCGTGTATTCCTTGCATGTAGGTAAGTGCACCCCTGTCGTGCAATGCCCTCTGAGGACAGAAGAGACTGTTGGATACCCTGAAACTGGAGTCATGGACAGTTGTTAGCTGCCATGTGGGTGCTAGGATTCGAACCTGGGTCTTCAAGACCAGTCAGTGTTCTTAACTGCTGACCCATCTCTCCAGCCCCACAGCACACATTCTTATTTACAGTAATATTTTGCATCAGTTAAGGGCTTCCTGAGTTAACGTTGTTGACATGTTTCATTTCTGCTTGTGTTTATTGATACTTAACCACCTCCTAATGTGAAAGTACAGTTTTTAAAAATGTTTTATTTATTATTTTTATGTGTATGAGTGTGTTGCCTGCATGTATGTGAGTGCACCTGTGTCATGTGAATGTACAGTTTTGATTGGCTGGTCTGGCTCATAATACTGTCTGGTACCATACAGTCTCTGTTGCGCAAGGTGAACAGATGGCCAAGCAGTACTAGTAAGAGCATTGCAGACTTGAGCTGCCGTTTTCAGTACTATATAAACATAAAAACTATTGGGAAACAGTTCTTTTCCAGAGTTCAGTTCCAGTGCTTCGGAAAATACTGCATTTCTAACCTCTTAAGAAGTATCAGAGTGAGCCTGCAGTGTCATTTGGGGCTGCAACAACTTTAAATACTCGACGTTGGAATAATGTACTTAAAATTTAAATTTTGTGTGCGCATGTGTGTCTTTTTGAGACAGGGTCTCCCTATAGTCCCTGAGTGCTGGGACTAAAGGTGTGCACCACCACATCCGGCTTTAAAATTTAAATTTTTATTTAAAGTTACATACCCCCTCTTTGGTTTGGATTCTCTAATGCAGTTTCTGGGGTAGCTCACCTTACTGTTGATGGCAGCCTTCAAGGTGGAAGGGACTGGAACTTCCATCCAGGCTGGAGACCTCCAGAATTTTCTGCATCATTAGCCTTGATGAAGAAAAAGTTGAGAAATGCCCCAAAGGGACAGGCCTTTGTCTCTTTGGGGCATTTCTCAACTTTTGGTACTTGATATAAAGGTGCAAGTTCTTCCCACGTGGCCTGCTGTGATTCTCGGAGTAGCAATGGCTGGCTTACTCATGGGTTTCTGCCTGGCTCATAGTCTCCCTTGCTCTTGTTTGCTGCTGTGTCCACACCCCTACGGGCGTTTGTTCTGTGGAGCTGTGCCTGTCTGAGCCCTGCTTTCACCAGGGGTTAGACTTCTAGACCAAGAGGGAGAGGGGGCAGGAAAAGAACTAGCAGTGGTTCAGGCAAACAGTGCCAGTTAGTTCTTGTATAAATTGCCCAACACTGCTACTTGGCGACATTCTAACCTGGTCCATTTAAAAACATGGTACATGAAAACAAGATAATAGCAAATTTTAGGTCGTGTACCACAAGTAAAAGGCTGACATGAGTATTTACTGGGTACAGATTAAAATACAGAAAGCCATTGAAAT